AAATATTTTTATATATATATATATAATTTATATATTAAATTTAATTAAAAAAATTTTTGCAAAAAATTTGGTTAAATTTATTTTATTTTGATAAAAATATTTTAAATCAATTTTTTAAATTTATTTATATTTATATAACATTTTATTTTAATTTTATTTAAAAGTTTCTACATGTCCTCCATCATTAAAAAAATATTATGATAAAAGAAAATATTTTTTATTATCTAAAAACTTGTTGCTAATTTTTTTTTTAAATGCATATTCAATAAATTATAAATATCACAAAATAATATATATAAAATAATTTTTTTTTTTTTTAATATATATATATATATATATATTATATATATATATATATATATATATATATATATATATATATATATATATTATTTTTTTAAAAAAAAATTATAACATAAGTATGTTATAAAATCACTACAAAAATAGCCATTTTGTTTCAACACACTGTGTCTTATCAAGTGATGATGTTGAAAAAAAAATAAATGGTTTTAAAAGTTTCAGATTAATTAACGATCATACATTAGGGGAAACATTGTTACAAAAGCTAGAATAACCAATCAAAAACCAAGTATAGAAAAGATTCAAAAAGCTTGACAACGAAATCATGTTATAATAGCTATTCAGATCTTTAAAATACGGGTAATATTAAAAAATAATTTATACTAACCAATAATTATAAAATTATATGATAAAATTTAATATTAAAATTAAAAACTGGCAATTTTAAAATCCAAATTTAATCACTATTAAGTTTAAAAAAATAAAAAATTATTGAGAAAAGAAAAATATATATGTTATTCAATTTATTTCTTCGTTGAAATTACGTTCGACAAGACTGTATCCGGCATTTGACAATTATTAAAATATTCATAGAAATATGATTTTTTTTTTTCTAAACGGTTTACTAAACAGGTTGTTGATTTTTTTTTTTTAAAAGGAAAATAACTGAGTTGAAAATAATTCACTAAGATTGTACTAGACGATCTTAAGGGAAGATAAGAAGGAAAAAAAAAAAAAAGAAATAAGAAAAAAAGAAAAAAGTTGGATGATGCATGACCCAATTGAAAGAGATAGGAGTCAGAAAGATATTTTTAGGTGTAAGCGTTTTTAAAGATTTTCGAAAAGACAATTTTGAAATAATAAATTAGCAATAATAAAAAAAAAGAAAAAAAAGACATGATATCAAAACGGGCCGCTGATATAGAAAACAGATATCGTCAAAGCATCTGACCTACTTTTTGCGTGGAAAAGATTATTATCAATTTGGTTTAGAAACAATAGAAATGAAATTTTTAATTTTAATCAAAAAAAAGTGTATTTTAAACTCTTGGGGGTGACCCAAAACAAACGATATATACAATATCTGACCTATTAAGAATTGACACCCATATTAATAAAGTGGAGACATTTTCAAAGTAGATAATTAAGATTTTCGACTATCAGGAAAAACAAAGAAATAAAAAGATTGAAAAAAACGATTGTCTCATGATATAAATAAGATGCGGAAAAAAATCCTTTCCTGAAGTCAAGTCTAATTAGCAGCATATATGTTTTTGACAAAGTCCAGGTGAGAAAGGCCAAGATGGTATTTTTTATATATATAAAAAAAAAAAAAAAAAAAGGAAAAATTAGATTTTGTTTTTTTTTAAAGAACGATATAAGCCACGCCCGATTGATTGCAGGAAACGCCCAATCAGGATCTCATTACATCAAAAACATCACGTGGCTGCAGAAAAGAAAAATAAAAAATGCTCAACCAGAATTTTCATTAATAAAAAAACGGTCACGTGGTTGCGGAAAAGAAAAGAAAGAAATGCTCGATCAGAATCTCATTATTCGAAATATTTCACCTGACATACGAGAGACCGAGAGAGATGGATATGCGCCTCCCACCAAAAAAATTTATATATGAGGAAGTAGGGGTGAAAACAATAGCGATAATGAGAAATCAAAAATAATGCGACTTTTGGAATTATCGAAGAAAACCTGACGCCGACAGACCCACCCCAGTTTGTTGCGGCGTCAATATAAGCAGGACCCCAAGTCGACAGAAATCAGTTGAGTTGGAGTTTCAGGAGTTGAGATTTTTTTATACCGCGGGCAGGGATAGAGCCTGAACGCGGCCATCAGGCCCGATTCACTCGCCCCTTTGCGGGCAGAAGAAAAAATCTCAGACAAGAAATCCTTCCAGCCCAAGTCGAAGACAGGAATTATTCAGCCCAAGTAGACGAAGAAGAAGATTGCCTGAAAGCCTGAGAAGAATTGGAGATGCAGACAAGCTGAAAGTCGATGAAAAAAAGTTCAATTCCCATTCGGCATTTTTAAAAATAGAGACCATTTCTGACGACAGAGAGTTGCGGCTAAGTTGAAACAAGAAATTTTCCACCAAAACTTGAAACAAAAAACTACCAAAGCAATCCGAAAAGACGAAGAAGAAGAAATACAACTCAAGTCGGAGAGAAGAATCAACTGCGAATGATCGATAGAAATTAGCCCCAGTGTCGAACTGAACCAAACTCCGACATACATAAATGATTCTAGAAAGTAGGTAATTCGACATTTTTCTATTGTGTGATAGAAGCTTGGTGCCGCAAATAGTCCACAGAGCGGGTCGGGAATTGAGAACAATTTTGTTTTTTATGTAACGGACATTAAGATATAAATTATAAAATTGTTACCCTTTTTTCAGCAATTTTGTTTAGTGTCGTGAGTTTTTTTTTTTTTTTTGTGTTTTTTTGTTTCCCACCCCCGTCGGACTCGACTTGTATCGGCCCAAATCCCTGCTGGTCCCGTCTGTCTAAGAAGATCTAAAACACAGCGTGGGTAGACAGACCGGAGATCGGTATAATTGCTTTAGTGACCAGGTATTGGAAGCGAGTCGATTAAGGCGAGGCTGGTGATCATCTGACCAAAGGGTTGAGGGCACGCTTGGACCCAGGAGGAGCGACCAGGAGGAGCGACGTCACTGTTGGCGCCGTAACCAAAGGATCCGACATGGGCCAGGTTTTTTAAACGTCAAAAAACGCTTTAATATATCCGGTCATTTGACAATACATGTATATATATTTTTATTCTAAAAATAAATGAATGTGGTCTTAAACTCACGTAAAACAACAAAAACACAATCAGATTTATAATACATAATTTTCCAGACATATTTAGATATATATATACACAAAAAAAAAACGAAAAAAAATATATAAAGGCGACAGACAGGAACATCTCGTTGCCCTTTATGAAAAAGGAAAGTAAGAAACAGATATCACATCACAATCATAAAGACTGAAAAATAAAATTGACAAAGATTATTGTTTAATAAATACACATGTCTTAATTATCCACAGACAATGACCTTTCAAACCAAACTCAAAACAAAACATTGTTTTCAATCGTTAAAGTCTCTCATTGAATAAAATTTTATTATAAACAATTGTCTTGTAAATGGAATTTTTAAATATTCTGAATGTAAAAATTAAAAAAAAAAAAAAAAAAAGACAATAAGAAACACTACATGCCAAAAAAAAAAAGTGAAGTTTTGTTGAAATCGGTTGAAAAAATGTAGGTAGCCTTTCTGTAATCTTTTAGTTTTACAATTTATGATTTTTTACTTATTGAATACAGTAAAAAAAAATTGCATATTTTGCTTGTGGTGATTCATAATTAGAATTCTGATTTGAATATATTTTCCACTCGTTGTTTCTAATACAAAAAAATATTAACTTTATTTGGGTTTATTAATTATGATCTAACAAATCTTATTCATTTAGTAGCCTTTCTGTAATAATAATCTTTTACAATTTATGATTTTTACTTATTGAATACAGTAAAAAATTGGACACCATGTGTATTTAAAGTAGTTTCCCGTTCCGGTTATTATTTTTTAGTTAGGACTTGTGTATGTTTAGATTTCATTATCTTTCCCTAAAGATAAAGAATTTATTCCGATGTTTGTATTCGGAAAATCAGTAGAGATCGTTAGATTATTGTTTAAGGTTGACGGACACGCATGTCTTAATTAGTTTTTTTTTTTTTTTTTTTTACAATTGGTCAAACCCAAACTCAAACAAAAACATTGTTTTCAATCGTTATGAGTCTCCCAATTGAATAGAATTTTATTATAAATAATTGTCTTGTAAATGGAATTTTTAAAGCATTCTGAATGTTAAAAATAAAGAAAAAAATGTGCAAAGAGAATAAGAAACACTACCTGCCAAAAAAAAAAAAAAAAATGAAGTTTTGTTTTATCGGCTGAAAAATATAGGAAATCCGCTCCCATATTTAAAGGAACCCACACACACAAACAACCCGATGTGAGTTGTCCCCCTTCCATTTTCACGATGTCTCTTAATCGTGTTTTCAAATTGATTTTGTGCAAAAAACAATTATATTTTTCCCATTTTTGGCGCTGTTAGAACCACCACAAGGTAATTTTATGTAGTCCTGTGAAGTTTTGTTGAAATCGGTTGAAAAATGTAGGAAATCCGATCCAATATATAAACGTTACAGACACACACACACACACAATCTGCGTTTTATAATAAGTAAGATAATTATATAAATATATATATATATATATATATATATATATATATATATATAATAATAATAATAATAATAATGAACTCTCCCGTCGGTTTTGACTTATGAGGATATGACAGCTTAATTGTTTCAGTTATGAAATTTTGTCCAATTACCTTCAGTGGCACTTAAGACCCGCTAGTGATTTACAAAGGAGGACTCATATGGAACAAGAGTGAGGATTGTGGGATGAGATCACTTTTAGATTGGCTGACCTTCTCGTTCTTCTTCTAGGCTTCTTGAATACGATTCAGACAATGTGTTTAAAAAAGGAAACGTTGCCATTCTGAGAATTTTTACTATTTGATCATTCTTTTCTTGTTTTTTTTTACCTTCTGCAGAAATTAAGAATATTGGTTTATAAAATCGCGCAACATTTATTTCACATAAACAGAACTTACCGACGGTTCGTAAAGCTTTCAGACATTCACTGTCTTTAAAAACGTTGACCTTGGCTGTGAGAAGTCTTTGAGCTTTTATGGAACTTTCAGTTAACCCCCAGCCAGATACGTAACCCTTAAGACCGGAATGGAGGTGGCTTTTTAATGCTTCCTTGTTTGGAGGCAGACATATTGGACGTACAAATTTATTAATTACTGCATCTCGCGACAGATAAACCAATGCAATGTCGTTTAACTTCTTTTTCGGATCGTAATCTTCATGAACGTAAAGATCGGCAACCTTTGAAGAAAACATCAAATAAAAAAGATTTTTTTAATAAATTCATGGAAACAAAATTGATAGATGACTTGGTTAAAAATGTTTTAATTCATTTTGCTGTTTAAATATAAATAAGTCTTTCAAATTATTAAAAATACAATATTTTTTTGAATTACCAACTCAGTTTAATTCTATAAAACCTTTACTTCACATATTTTCGACGCTTTTATTTTTTTTTATATGAAAAGAAATAGCCTTGGTATGATTTACTACTTTTACTCTTATTTGGGATATATTTCTACGGATTCAATTATATTTTTATCACATGTATTAGTTGTTCAAACAGAAAGCCGCAAAAATAACATCTGATAGAAATAAATCAAAAATTAAAACAACAGAAGAGACGCGGCGCGTATTTTCATTGATTTACAAATAAGGTTTAAAGGAATTCAAAAAATCTTAAAATTTACAGAAAGCAATAAACCGTGTAATAAAAGTGAAGTTGCGAAAACAAAATATAAAGTGACAAAGATTTAGAACAATCAGAAGCGAGAACAACGAAAGGTCCGAAATGTCTTGCGCTGTGCTGAATTAAGTCAATAAAGATTCAGACTAAGAAAAGCAAAAGATCACTATTAGGAATTATTTAAACTTGGGTATTTAGTACCAAAATTTGACAAATTGTATTCTTTACTAACTTAAATTTAAACCCATGATACGAGGCGCATACAAACATTTCTAAGCCTCACCCAGAAAGAAGAGCTATAGCTAAATATTTTTGTTGTGGCAACGCACTACCACTTCTTATAAAACTAGAAAAACTAATTCAGAGTCCTGTTTTAAATTTCTGTGCAGGTGATGGCCATACAAAAAGTAAGAGGACCAGGACGCCACTTTCTTTCGCGATAGAAATGCAATGCTTAAGCATCGTTGGATCAAGTGCATTGATTGTCAAGGGGGACTATATTGAAAAATATGTCTTTTTTCTAGAACTCGTTCTAGGTGAGGCTTAGAACTTTATGAACGGCCCTCGTATGTTCCACTGAAATAATACTATTAAGATAGAAAAACTGTAAATTTTCCAAATATAAATAAAAGCTATTGCGTTAATGAAATTTGACAGCACATCCAGTCAGAGCGCCCACGCACAAATTCTTTAGTTGATGTGACTAAGCTTCTCTCCACTTAAATCCCCTGTGGTGTTTGTTTCCTATAACATGTATTTGTATTACACAAAAAGTTTTGCTCATAGATTCTTTAGAAACAAAAAAAAAACATATAAACATGTCATTTCCTTTAAAAACATTTAGTGTCTGAATTATAAATCTTTTATTGACTGAATCCATTTACCTCAAATGTCTGTACAATCTGGTCGTCCCTGTCATCGTTTCGATAAAGCTTTCCCAGGTAAACAGAGAATTTGTCCAGAGAATAAGTGTCTGTTGTCGAGCTAATGGTGACACAGTGTGCTGCAGTAACCACCCATCTCTCGTTGATTAGGCTTCCTCCACATTTAATATCTTTATCTCCAATAATGTATAACGAAATTGCGACCATCCATGGTTGGAATTCTCGAGGTAACTCACCACCGCTCAGGATAGGTTGGGCTTTCGATTGAAAAACTTTACCACATTCTGAGAAAAGAAAATGAATCTTTCAATGCCAATAAAAAGATATCTAGATTGATTTATTTAGTCACTGTATCAGGTAATTACAGTGCTTATAAAATCCAGATCGTAGTTAGTGCATTCTGAATGATCTGCTGATTATGGGATCTATGCCATCATATTGCAGAATCACTATCTGGTATTATCTGACATATATGTTTTTATGATACTATTAATTACAGCTGCTTCGCATTCGATAATAGTGGATTGCTTACTTCCGAATAAAAATAGTCTGCTTTAGTTTTGAAAAAAATTATTTGCACACCTTCCTTCTGTCAACGGAAAGAAAAGTTAGAGTACCTTTCACAATATGGCACCTTCATATAGTCAAATACATACTTCCGTTACTATCATAAAACTTCTTGAACAGAAAAAAAAATCAATAAATTTGCGCCCCAAGATGCAGATCTAGTCAATAAGTACAATAAATACTCTCGCACTTTAGAGTTCAAACTTTACTGGGCGTCCTGTTACTGTGATCTTGTGTCCGACTAAGTTCAGTTGAGTAACTACTTTCGATAACATCCAGAATAAAGGATACATTTACAATGTAGGAATAAAAGGATAACAAATCAGTTTAAGCAATGGATTAAATGAAAAGGCATCACTTCATATTTTAGGAAAAAAGAACCTTATGAATGTCCAGGTAAAGTTCCGTTTTTCTATTTGTATATAAAACATAAGACATTTAAATGACAAATACCCTTATGTTTTACCGAAACTACACCTAATGATGCAGAGTACGACTTCTAAAACACTGAATGAAATTGGTTTTGGAAGATTCAGCAAAATTTCTAACACCAAGACAAGAAATGCTTAGGGTCGTAAACACTTTAAAACGATATTTTGTTTTTCAGTATTTAACAAGCATTTGTGATTGGATTTAAGAGTATTCATTTGGTTTTGAAAGTTGATAAAGTTTGATTAATTCTCGGTAGACACTCATACACTCATAAAACATTTGTACTATTGTGATCTCGAGAAATAAAAAAAAATCTAATTTCCCATGATTCTCTCGTCAAAAAAATAAAAATAAAACGCCCTACTGGTGAAAAATTTAGAATCTGGTGTCTTTTCTGTTGAAGAGCATTTAAAAATGAACCTCTCCGGGAATGAATACTAAAGATAAGTTTTACTCAAATATTTCTTCCTCATATTTAATTTGACTTTTTAATAATACACAACAAAATAATTCACTCATTCAACAAGACAACACAAATATCAGAACATTTAACAACCACATGACGAGAACCTTCCTTTATCTACAGAAACAACCAAATTTTCCGATAATAAATCCTAATACATTTGTCGGAGTTACCTCCTCCTTAATTTTCTAATTGTCACTAGGGCACGCTCACCCTACACTATAAATACTGGGCGACTTCTTGCCTAGTTCTCTTTTTCATTTTGCATCGCTCCATTGGTCAAGGTTGCCCGCTTTCGCCTTTGCTGTACGTTCTTGCGTTGGAACCTTTCCTTCGCGGAATTTCCCTACCTGGCGCTACCTCTTCCCTATTCCCCACTTCGGCCTTGTGCCACATTTTCTGTTATAGCACAGAAATAAATAACCTTTTTTCATTTTGCATTGACCATGTTAGACCTTTTTTTTTTTTTTTTTTTGTCTCTGAGAGATTTATTTTTACCGTTTTTTTTACGTTCTTTTTTGACTGTTTTGTAAATTTTTGATTTTTTTCCTTTTCAATTCCTTACCCTCCCCATTTTTATTTTTACTTTGTTTTGCTATTATTCTTTTATTATTTAATTTTTGATTTTCTCTTACAGTTTATTTTCCTTTTTAAATTTATTTTCTTCCCGTACCATCCTTCCCAGAGTTTATCTGTTTATTCTTTTCTACGTTTTCCGTTCGACATTATTTTTCTTTGTTTTATTATTACGTGTTACTTTGTTTCTGTGTTTTTCTTTTTAAATATCCGTAAAGTTCTGTGTTTTATTTGTTAATTTCTTCTGTAATGTATTTGTTTCTAAATTTTGTGTTTATTTTGTATATTCTGTCCATTTTTTTTCTTTCCTTGTTTATCGTTTTGTTTTAGGGTTGACCGTTTTTTTTATCGGCAGCCATATTGTAAATTGTTACATTTATCGTTTCGTATTTTTTCTAGCGTTTTCTTACTTTTCCGTTTATAACGTTTCGTTTTATTGTTTAATTTGTTGTTTTTTTTGTCTGTCGTCTTTTTAATCTTTTGTACGTTCTTCTGTTTTTGTTTTCGACTGTTTTAAATTTGTTGTTTCGCCTTTAGGCGAACCTTGTTCATTTGTTCTCGTCTGTCGTACGTCCATTTGTTTTGCGTTTTCTTTTTGTCTGTTTAAATTTGTTTTTTTGCCTTTAGGCGAACCTTTGTTTTTTTTTGTTTTGTTTAAACTTTTGTACATTTGTTTTTTGTTGTTTTTTTTTTAAATTTGTAGTCTCGCTTATTTAACCTTGTTTATATTGTTTTTTTTAATTTTTCTCGTCTCGTCGTTTTTTGTACGTTTTTTTTTTTTTTTGTTTTTGTTTTTTTGTTCTTTAACTATTTAAATTTGTTGTTCCTTTTTTTTTTTAATTTTTCTTTTTTTTTTTTTTTTTTTTTTTTTTATTTTGTTTATAACCAAACTTTTTTTTTTTTTTTTTTTTTTTTTTTTATTTTTTTTTTTTGGAAAAAAAGAGAGTCCTTTTTTTAATTATTAAAAAAAAAAAAAAAAAAAATAAAAATCCGACCTTAGGAGGTCGGTTTCAGGAAAAAATTTTTTTTCCATTAAAAAAAAAAAAGTTTGAAAAAAAAGATCCGCCTAAAGACAATCCCGAAGAATACCCGGTATTAGTATATTAATGAGGAGGCCGTTGGTAAACATGACAGAGAAAAAAAATGGCCAAGACCAAAAAAAATATTTAAAGGCCAATAATGGCCAAACTAAAAAAAATGGCCAAAAATGACCAAAAATATGGAGGCCAAAATGGCCAAAAATAGAGAAAAAATATGGAGGCCAATATCGGCCAAAAAGATGAAAACAAGACCAAAAAATAACGTGGAGGCCGGGGATTCGCCCTGCTGTTAGAATACCCCCCCAAAATGCATTATCGATATAGCGGAGTTCTTGGAGCGTTCCAAGAGTTACGCACACCTTGTCGTGGAAGTTGGGCTCTTGCAGGACCCCATAGAACAAAAGAAGATCGAAAAAAGAATACTGTCAGTCTTCGTCGTCGACAAGTGTTCGCGCAAAATTTGTTCGACGAAAGACACAGTGGTAAAAACACTGGAGTCCCAGGGGTTTAAACCACTTAGAATTGTTAAGGGAATTGTTTTTCATGCGGGACGTATTGCTACCCACACCCGAAGATTGTGTCAAAGCAACAAGCAGAGAGATAATAACAAAAGATATCATTCTGCGAACCGAGTATGAAGGCAGGAGAAGGACCATAGTTAGCGATATACGAGGTCCCTCCTCAGGTTATCGGGGAACACCTGGCGGCTTTCTTGTCGCATTATGGCGAAATACTAGGTGCTTCCTGCGATAGCTTGACCGGGGGATGGAGTTTTGACATCATGTTAGACCGAAAAGCCTTCCTCTCCATCCCCAACTGTCTGGATGTAGGGGGCCTGAAGCTGCCGGTCATTGTGACCGGCCGCAAACCGGTGTGTTGGAAGTGTGGAGAGACTGGTCACCTCTCCTCTTCCTGCCCAGAGAAGAAGGCCTCTGGAAGTCAGGCCCCAGTCGACCAAAATCCCCTCTGACCGCGTCTTTGAATACCGCCACGCCTGTAATGGGCATGCCAGCTTCCGGGACCGGAGTGGTGAAACCCCCGGTTGGGTCAACATCTAAGCCCCCATTCCCCGAAGAGCTTTCGCCCGCTGCAAGTGCAGTTGTGGAGAAGGGAGAGGGGGAATGGCAGGTTGCTGGCAGGGCCAGAGGGAAGCGCCAGACAGCGGGTCCTCAGTCCCCTGAAGCCCCCGGGACGAAAGACACTGACAGTCCCACTCCCTCTGTCAACATTAAGGGCGACTCGACGCCCTGGTCTCTGAAAAACTCTAAAGAGATTTAAAAAAAAAAACGACCCAGGCTTTGAAAAAAAAAAAAAAAATTGAAAAAAAAAAAAAACAAAAAAAAATAGAAAAAAAAAAAGTCTCTCCAATCCAAAAAAACAAAAACCACATCTTCTCCCAACATTCTCAAACCTCCTCTCCCCAAAACCAACCCTCCCAGTAACCCATTCTCCATCAAAAGTCATCCCCCAAACCTCAAAGACTATAAAAAAAAATTCAATCCTCCCTCCAAAAAGGCATCTTCTGTCCCAACATTCACCAGAGAAAATCTTCTTCCCATCCCTCAACCCCTCTCAGTAGAGACCCCAGCCCTTTCAAACAAAATCTACACCCTCATCACACTCCCAGTCCTTCCCCCATTAAAACACCCCTAATGCCCCCCTCCCCAACAAAAAAAACTAAGAAGTCCCACTCAGGACTCAAAAAAAAAAAAAAAAATGCCAAACATATATACAACTCAGGGGAAGATGTTTGCCGTATTTCCCCAAAAAGCAGAAAAAGCCCAGGATTACGGAAATAGGATCAAAAATTTAAAATATCTCCTCTCTGTCAAACAATATGCTGACAAAAATATTGAAGATCCAAAAAAAATTTCCCAGAAGCCGAAAGAGTTTTAACAGTTATTAGAACTGGGACGGGGGCTCGACAGGCATGGGCTATGCTTGATGAGGCAATAGCCTCTTTTAAAATGTCCCCACCCCATTGCTATCGTTCAAAAACGAAAATTGAAAAAATGAAAAACAATTTTGTGCTGGGAGGGTCCCTGTTTTTGTTCACCCCTCCCTCTATAGAGCACTAAAATTGACTTTCCCGTGGGATATAGGCGGTCTCTCCCAAGACGGCACCATCAAGACTGAGATGGGCCACGGGTCGATGGGGGAGGTTGTCGGTATCCTGATCCCGTCCATGTTTAATTCAGGAAAGCAACCCTAATCGGTTTGATAATGTCTCTCTGGTTAGCTAGTTTGAATGTCCGAGGCCTGAGGTCGGAGTCTCGCAGGGCGAGGCTCTATCGTGACCTTCAGCGTCTCGGGGTGGATGTATGTTGTGTGCAAGAGACCCGTTTTTCTTCTCGCGATCATGAGAGCATTCTGTCTAGGGGGTTTTCCCTCTATTCAGCATGTTTTGATGGACGCTCGAGGGGTGTCTCTTGGCTGGTGAGCAAGTCTTTGAAGGCTGCGTGTGCTCTTGTCTTCGCAGATCCGGCGGGCAGACTTTGCGTGCTGGATGTTACCATAAAGGATAAGGCTCTACGTCTCATTGGGGTTTATGCGCCCAATAAGCATTTTGAGTGGCCTGCTTTGTTTCGGCAGATCGAGCCGTTCTTGGCGTCATCTCGTCGGGTAGTTTTAGCGGGCGATTGGAATGCCGTCCTTGACCCCGATATAGATCGTATAGGGTCAAATTCGGGTACTAACAACCGGGACGTGAAACTATTTCGGGACTTTATCGACAAGTTTGATCTTGTCGATAAGTACCGAAATGAACACCCTCGGGAGGTAGTGTGGACTTGGACTAATAGTGGCGGCTCGGCTACCGAGGTGCGTTCTAGCTACCTCAACCGAGTCTTAGTTAGGAGAGTCGATGTAGGGCTCTTAGGGTGTCCAAGTTTCCATTATATAGTTTATTCGGATCATAGGCTAGTCCGGGTCCGTGTAAACTTAGATAAGCCTAAGGTTAAGATGCTGGTAACTGGAAATTGAACTGCTCATTATTTGGGGAGCAAGATTTCCGGGACCAGCTGCTACTAATGATACAGAGTGAACTGACAGGGTTGTGGTGGGAAATGCCTGGTGTGATAAACTTAAATCCAAAATTAGAACGTTTGCTGCTGATTTTAGTCGTCGACTCAATCTAGATAGATTAGCGGCGCAAACGGCTTTAGAAGCAAAAAAGTTGATCGGGCGATTAAATCCCGTGATAGTGGGGACGTAGCCTTAGCTAAGGCAGAGTTGGCCTCCTTGCTTATCAAGAAGGATCAAGCTCTGGTAGTTAGGGCTAGGTTAAAAAGAATGTCCCCTGAGGCAACGAATATGGCCGCTGAATTGCATGCAGAGGAGAATTCGGAGCGCATCTCGGCGACATATCGCATGCGTCACATTGCCGGATAAGCGGACCGTGACTACAAACGAGGGCATATGTGAGGCTTTTCGTGAGTACTTTCAGGAACTTTTCACCAGGGAGCCCGGTCTGAGCCCTGCTCAGTTCGACGCCTATTTAGCTGACTTTCCCTGCCTTGAGGCAGCTGAAGCGGCTAGGTGCGAGGATCCCATTACAGAGTCGGAAATCTGGGAAGCGCTGAAACAGGTTGGCCTGGACAAATCTCCGGGATCAGATGGTCTTCATACGAAGTGTACTTGAGGCAGTCGCCCGTTTTTTCCCCTTTGCTGGCACTGATTTTCGGCAACTGGATGAAGCAGGGGTCTATACCCCAACGCTTCACCAGGGGCGTAATCAAGTTGTTACGTAAGGACAAAAACGGTGGGGATGGGTTAGGTAACTTTCGCCCTTTAACTATGTTAAACACAGAGTTAAAGATTTTGGCTAAAGTCTTAGCGAACCGTTTGCAGGCTGTCCTCTCTCTCTCTGATTGGCTCCGAATAGACTTGTGCTGTGAAGGGCAGGACTATTCAGGACAACCTTCATATGGTACGCTTGATCATCGAGCAAGTCGACAGTGAAGCCGCGCTGATCAATTTAGATCAGTCCAAGGCCTTCGATAGGGTTGACCATCGCTTTCTCGAGGCTCTCCTTTCGGCGGCCGGTTTCTGGCCGTACTTTCGCACCTGGATCCAACTTCTGTATGCGACCCCCGGTGCGCTAATGAAGGTGAACGGAGTACGATCGGAGCCTTTCATATTGTCTCGCTCCATTTGTCAAGGTTGTCCGCTTTCGCCTTTGCTTTACGTTCTTGCGTTGGAACCTTTCCTTCGCAAGTTAAAGACGAATCCGGTCCTACGCGGAATTTCCCTACCTGGTGCTACCACCTCGCCCAGGTATTCCGCCTATGCTGATGACGTTTCGGTTCTTGTGTCGAGCAGGGCCGAGATTGACGAAGTCAGCAAAGAAATCAGTGGTTATGAGATGGTGACAGGGGCCAAGATCAACCGCGATAAGTCTGTTGGCTTGCGGTTGGGTGCGTGGAAGGGAGTTTCTCTTCCCGGACCTTTCCTCTGGACGGATGGGCCGGTCAAGATTCTCGGCGTCTGGTTCGGTCCTGATCTCCAGTTGGAAATGAATTGGTCGGAGGTGCAAGGGAAGGCCGAGATCGCAATTAATTTGTGGTCTCGGAGGAATCTTTCCTTAAAGGGGAGGGCGGAAGTATGTGTTTCACACATCTACCTGATTCTCCTTTACCGACTCTCTGTGCTTCCACTTCCGTCTGACACTTTACTGGCGTTAGTGAGGCTCTTGTTCTCCTTCTTGTGGGGAGGCAAGGCCGCCAGAGTCTCTTGGGAGATCTGTTGCCTTCATCCATCTGAAGGCGGTCTAGGTATGCCTAGCATTGAGATTCGTCAATATATGCTTCGCATCGGGTTCCTGGATCGATTGTGTCACGAATCGGATGAGGTGGGCGCCTTCTGGAAGGAAGACACCCGTAAGAACTTCCCATCCCTGAAAAGTGTGCATTCGTGAGAGGAGGAGGCCCACCGTTTACCCTGAGTCGAGTGCTCCTTCTACCGTGAATGTGGTTGTGCTCTGAAACGCCTCTTATGGGCGTCAGGTGGCCTCTCCAACATCCAGGCGTCTCATAAGACCTTATATCATTTGTTAGTTGGAGGGGGGACGTTCGTGATGAACTGATTGATGAGCTCGGTCTTACGAAGCAGGAGGCTCGCTCAATATGGCCTTGGGCGCCCGGGTTGAAATGTCTCAATAACAATGAGGCATCACTCACCTGGCTGGTGATGCGTGGGGCCCTCTGGGTCGCCAAGAGACTTTGCACAGCGGGCTTGGAGAAATATCCAAACTGCCGCCGCTGTAGTGGGGAAGTCGAGACCATTGGTCACGCCTTCTTTCATTGCAGGGTGGTAGCGCCGTTGTGCAAGTATGTTGAAGGCCTCATGGTTCGCATGCTGCCTGGAAAGTTCTTTGTCCTTGAGGCCGCTTCTGTTTGTAGCAATGTGGCTCCGCCGCTGACGAAGGCTGAACATTATGTGTTCTTATGCTTGCTAGGTGTTATGCGAGTTGTGATTTGGACGACACGTCAGAAGGGATTCTATGAAGGTGAGAAGTTCACTTTTTCCCAACTGATCTTATACTTTAAGCATCAGTTTAAGGTTAAGATTAGGACAGAAAGGCAGCGACTCACTTCATCAGAATTCGGCAAAAGGTGGGTGAATCTTGCGCGTTTGTGTCATGTGAAAGGGGCTGACCTGGAGTGGCACTTTGATGCCGGTTAGGCATCAGGATATTGCTTTACCTGGGTTGAACACAGGCAACCCATCCCCAAATTAGGTTAGCTTAGGTTTGGTTTTTTGAATTTTTAGTTTCCATTTTTCAATAAACTTAGCTAGGGTATGTATGCTCATTGGCCCCTTTTATTTCTGTCCCTATTTTTCTTTAAGTTTAATTCCCCATCCCCTCCCTCGTTAGGTGGTCAGTGATGTCAGTTCTCTGGTGGATGCGGGGTGTCTTTTGTTTCGTGTGTGCATTTTTGTATTTGTTGTAGCGTCTGAATCAGTACATGTATGTGTGAGTGCTTGGGATGAACGAACGTTTTATATTATTATAGTCCCGCATTAATTTTGTCCAGTTAACTGATGTTTCTGCCACATTTAGTGATTGTGGGTTTTTTTTATTACTAACATGATTTTGTTTAGTTTCTTGCAAATAGTTTTTATTTCATATTGTAAATACTCATTGGGGCTAGTTTTTAAAATTTTTAATTTTTTTTTTCCCCCCCCCACAGACGATAAATTGTACATATGGGGACTAGTTAGTATTACATGTTCCTAATATAACAACATGCAAACCCACACGGTCCTATGTCCATTGTAACATTTATGTTTAAAATGTTTATATATAATCTTTTTTGTTTTTTTACATCTTCGGTTGTATATCTGTTCTTGCATATTTTCTACATAACCTAATATAACAAAAAAACAGGAGTCAATACAAGGTCCATCAACCGCAAAAGAGTTACAAACAAAGTTTATTAAATTTCAGAAAATATTCCAACTTACCAACAACGCAAGACGGTTGTCTTCCTCGCCATTTACCGCCTGCAACGCATTCTTGTACAGCTGATCCGTAGAGTTTATATCCATTAGTACATTTGTATTTTAAAGTCGAACCAACTGGGAATGGAGTATGTCTGTTAATCAAATTAAACTCTTATAATTTATAAAAGTTTGACTTTTTTAGAGTAGAGTTTCGCTAATGAGAATGAAAGGTTTCCTTAAAAACTGGATGGTCGCTTTTAGAATCAAATTTTAGTATCAAATTCTCTCTTGTGATAGTTTTTACAAAAGAAAAGGTCAGGTTTATCTTTATTTTTAGATAAAGCATTTCTTTATTTTTATTATTAGCTTTTCTGTTATTATTTTTAGATAAAACATCTTCAGTCAGTCAGTTATGTGCCATGCGTGATACACGCTTAGGCGATCTTTCGATACATGACTGACGAGGCAGATTTTTTTTCATAATTTCCATCCAGGTCTATAGAACCCGGTCTGGCCCGCTATTTACCCATAGCTGGGAGTGGGGAGAAGACGAGGATTCATACCTTTCCCAAGGGCGTTAGCACGTAAGTAAATGTAATGGATTCGAACCCGGTTCTCCGATTCCTAAAGCTGCTATCCACCGTCTAAATAGTTTTATTCAATCATTGATATTTAGCAGCAATATAATGCAACGGGGTGCCGAGTTATCTTAACAGTTAACACTGTCAAATGGAATCGACGAAGAGAGTTCAACATCTGGTTGAGGTAGTCTATGTTCACTTCGACAAGCACTAAAAGAGAAAGGCATGAATCGATCGCGTCCAATAAATTAGGTCAGATTTCTCCTTTTCACTAATGATTGAATCTGTCGTATATTACTGGGAAAATCATCGCGATTGCCTGAAGAAATATTCTGGATAACTATCTTGTAAAATGGAATTCTTTTTAACTGAAGATCTAGAAATTACGATGATGGATTCATCATCGTAATTTCTAGATAAAAAAAATTTCTAGTTAAAAAGAATTCCATTTTACAAGATAGTTATGCTAAATGTTTATGTTTCTTGGCGTAGTGTAGAACAATTACAATCTCGCTGGAACAATTACGCGTGGAAAATTACCCTACACTGTTTTGGTTCAGGTAGTAATTTACTAATTCATAATTCAAAGGATATCAACTGAAATTTAAAGTAGAAATATCTGATGGAGACTTTCGTTAATAAACAATCTAATAAAATAAAATTTTCGCACTATTCTAAAGTTCTGCTTTGACAGGAATATAAAAGAAGAAAATCACTCATCGACTTCAAACGAAGCAAATTTCGGTCATTTATTTATTTTTTTAACAATTGGCTGTAAAAAAATTTAAGATTCAATTACTTATCGCTGTGATCCGGTCTTGTATCGACTCTGGTTGCATCTTTAGGAATTCCTGGATCTTGACACGACATTACTGAAATTAAATAAAATGTAATTAAAACGTGAAATTTTTCTCTTTATCCCACTTAAAATAGCTCCCTTTTCTTTTTTCAAACAGTTTTTTAATGAAAAGAATTGTTATAATAAGCAAACCAAAGCCATGTCTATTATTAATGAGTATGAAAAGAGACGATTTAATTTTAAAACTAAAAAACAAAAAGGTTGAATTAGTAATTCAATATACTTGCATAAAAATTTAAATAAAGCCATAAAAGTATCATGTGAAGAATTAATCTATGAAAAAGAATGGGTCTTCAACTTCGAAATTGCACTATTAACGCCACTTGCCTGTTGACAGTACCGCATTTAGGACAAATGAGGCTCTGTGCTAGTTAAGTTATGAGGCTCGTTATTTGGGCATGTAAAGAAGATGCCCCCCCTTTGTGGCCAATGGGGTCCTTTGCTTAAGCACACCCTAAGCACAATGGTAAATCCGGCACTGCCTGTTGATGATAATATTTAACACAAAAAAAACGATTTGACACTCATTTCTTACCTGGAATACAAACAGGCATGAATCCTGACCAACTTCCATCAGCCAAACACATCCGATTATTTGCTCCAATTAGAATGAAGTCTTTTTTACATTGATACGTTACGCTAAAATAAAGAAAAATATAAAATATTAATTCCTTGTCTCACACCATCACCACGAGAAAACAAATACTGTTTCTTCTCTAATAATTAATAAATAAAATCAACAATAATAAAATGCATGGAGTGACAATAAAACATGAGGCAACATTTCTGAATTTAAATTTGTGAAAATTTGCAGAAGAGTTATTTATATCAACTACAGTGAAGAAGTGCGAGGTAAAGCTGTCTGCAAATGGCGAATTTGTAGTCGAGGTAAAAATGACTAGTAAACTTGTCTAGTAAACTCCATATTTCTACTGCTCTTTGTAGCATCGATAAGTTTGCTTAATTACATCTTTCATCAAATATCTCAAAAGAAGGAACATTTTGAATGCTAGAATCAACCTTATCAAATATACAAAGAAAAGAGTAATGTCTAGAGTAAGAGATTTAATATTTATCTTTCCTAAGAGAAGAACTGGGCAATCATCAGCAAGACTATTAACGACCCTACATAAAGGTTTCAGTCCTAAAGATCATGTTCATGTGAAAACAAAAGAAACAGAAATATTGGATACTGTTCAATAAGTGGATGGCATGCGATGCAAAAGACGTTTAAAAGAAAAATTCATCATGCTCAACTGAAACAATCCAAATGTTATTAATGCATTTAAGCATAATAGACAAGATACAATAAAAGAGCAAATGTCTCTTGTGTGGAAACAAATTTGAATTGTTCATCATATAAGTGAATGTCGATATTAGCTCATGATTAAAGATGACTGGATAAAAAGTGATTCACTGAAAATTATACAAGTGTCTTTGATTTGATCATGCAAGCAAATAGTGTAATCGTACAACACCCTCCCCAGTCGTTCAAGTCATCCAACATCGCGGCTGATCGATGAAGATCACTGCGATCTCAGACCTTTCCTATCCCACGTTGTGATTTAAGTTTGAACATAAGGCAGCCAAGATCGAATCGTCGCAAGTATCTTTGTGTTGGGCTGCTCCAAGCAGGGCGATGACGTACAGAAAAAAAAATAACACTGGAATATATTGAACAAAAGTAAATACTGTTTTTATATCAGTCCTCCGTACAATAATCGGTTTATATGAGAGTTCGCATGCAATTAATTATCAGCCTGCATCCAAATTGGAAGTGACCTGGTAAAATACGGTTTGATGCTTTGGTAAATTTTGGCACAAGGCAGAAGTCGGAGGCTTTCGTCGGCAGATAATCACGTGGGTCCCTCTCCTGTCTCTGCTCTCGTTTCTGTCTCTTCTGCTCTCTTCTACGACTCGTCTCCCGAATTCGCTTCGCTCATTTGTATTTATGGACAAACTGGCATGTGAGGAGGTATGGCAAGGTAGGAGCATTTTGGTGAATCCTCTCCGGCTTACGTCATAACTTTAGGGAATTCCCGCTCTTCACCTTCTCATATTATTACCTCTCACTAAATCTCCTCAGTGAGCGTGGCTGGATTATCCACCCACACCTGGTATTTCATCTCAACTTTCGATCAGGAGAAACAACTCAAATTTGCTTTACAGCTTGCATTTGCAGCTGTGTTGTCAATCAACATTGCCCCCCCCTAAGTCTGGGTCACTTCTCCATTGTTCAAACTGCTCGACATACAATTCAAGTCGTTTATGTGTAAATCAAATCCTCAATTCTTCCCAGGGGTTTTAAATAAAACCCTTCCCGTTTCAATGTCTCTCAGCACATAACACATTCTATTGATAAGAAAACTTTCTCAGGTTTTATCTTAGCGCGTTAACAACAAATAATATCACAATAGTTTGAAATAAAACCAGATATTTTATTGTTTGGGATAAGGATTTATATTCGTATTTTTGCCCTCATCTTTGTTGGTGAGAACAATAATCCATATATATATATATATATATATATATATATATATAAAAAGAACAATAATCCATATATATATATATATATATATATATATATATATATAAAAAGAAGAAAGAAGATACAGTAAGTATTAGTAAGAATTTTTAGATACGAAAGAAGAATCTCATGTACTAGGGTTATAAAATGATGTAGTGGTGTTGTAAGAAATGTTGGCTAGGGTCACCGTGAAATATAATCAAGAAGGAAAGCTGTGTAAACGACACCCCACATGAAATATGAACAACATACACGAGAGAAATAAATCAAGCTCAGTGAACATTAATAAAATATTGTATTAACAATGATATACAAATTTCAACAATAAGTATAAAGAAAGTTGCTTCCCTTTTTCCGTAATAAAAAGGGTAAGTGTAGCTAATTAATGTTGAGTACAATATTGAATGTTATTTAACTACAAAGTTCAATTAAGGTCTTAGCTAAATGAAGAATAATTCCACAGTCTGTTTGTGAGTGTGGAAAGATGTAATGTACACGAATGATATCAATAGAAATTAGTAAGATTACTCGAATGAGTAATAACTAAGAATTAAAATGTCATAAGAAATATAGCGCCGTGCCGTATTTTCCAAGAATTGAACTGCAACTGAATGATTCCAAAACATAACAATTAGATTTATTAATGTTTGATGTACATGTATGCGAACTGAAATGGTAGGACAGAGTCGTGTCCCTTTAATTAGATATTAGTTGTACCTGAGTTCATATTAAGAAAGTTTGGAATTGTGAGTTTGCAAAGTTGGTAAAAGTTCAGGAGTGATTTCTGTGTTCGTGAATGTTGGTAATTGTCTTTAACGTCTGGCCAGCAAATGACTAAGACGGGAGTTCCTGAAGGTTACATCTTGGCACTTGGTAGAAAGGAATGAGATGTGCGAGAAAAAATGAATGAAAAAAAGTTCACACGTGTTCGGTTTATATAATGGTCGTGTACCACGTGGGAGGCTCAAACGGAGAACGCGGGAAAAACATATTTGGTCGCGTGCAGGCGGTTTGATTGGTCGGAACTGACCAATCAGCAAGCTAAAGAAAAAATATACCGTGTGAAAAAAAAAAAAAAAAACTCTACTAAATAATGACATTTACTGAACCAGAATTAAATTCTCTATCCGTAACTGAAATAGAAATGCGTTGGTGTTAGGAGAGGTAGAAGCTCATCTTAACACTTGTCAAAGGATATAGTCACAGATGTGAAATTGGGAATGTTTATGCCCTGTATACAAATTATAGAGTTTAGCATAATAATAATTTTTCGAAACGCGTTGAGTACTGTAGAGTTTGTGGGCACAAGTGAACTGAAGTATTATTCGATCCCGCCGAGTCAATCGGAGTCAGTGGGTGTTTAAGAAAGGGCAACAATTCTTGTTAATATAATAAATGCCACACAAACGTATACTCGAAATTTTCCTGCTCGTAAACATGTGAATAAAAATTTTTAATTGGCAAATCAACCTAAATCCGAATTGGTTCTCCTTCTGTGACAAACGAAACTTAAGTACGAACAATACATTCAACTACGAGCAACAAAAACAAACGGAACATTCACTTCTCAAACATCTTTAAAGCTAAAAGTTTATCAACATATTTTCAGCTTTACAAGATTCTTTAAACTCTCTTTCAGAGAACTTTTTGAGCGACAAATTAATTCAACTTTTTTGTGAGCTCCGATAAAAATATTTTTAGTAGTAAAGAAAGACTTTACCCCAGTCAAAGGGAAGTAACTCATTAATAAATCCATTAAAACCGTTGACATTTATAAATATAAATATTGTACCTGTTATGAAAAGTTATTTTCTTGTGTTCTCTCTCTTGTTTGCTTTTTGTTTTCTTACACATTCGTAAAGTAAAAAATGTGCAGATTGATTTACGCCATCAACACCACTACACACTTTGACTTACGTGTCGCCATATTCAAAACTGTATTTGTTACTTGATTCTCCAATGTTTCCATTGTTAGGCATTTTCGGAGTGTTGCACAGATTTTTTCTTACACATCTGAAAATAAAAAGCGAAAAAATTTGAAGAAGCTCTTCCTGCTCGCAGAAACGCGCGCGCTTGCGCATCTACACATTACGATATATCAATTAATTTGTAAAGTGATAGTTATTAACTAAATTTTAATCTGAAAGTTTCATTGCATGGTGCCCGCTCTATGGGATTAATATTTACCACTTAGATGCTTTAACAAGGAATGAGATTGTGTTTTAAACATATCTACTGTATAAATTATTTTCATCATTAGCCTTAGCTGATTTTCATTCTATATTTATTGATATTCACTACTGAGTCTGTATCTGTGTATAGTGCATTACCACATAAATCTTGACATTTGATAATCCGATAAAACATCTAATCATCCGAGACGGTAAAATAATTAAACATTCATTTTTACACATATTTGATACATAATTACTCTCACTGAAAAATCATATCGTCATTTAAAAATTGTTTTGTTTCCAATCTATTTTGACAATTTAACGAATCGAATTTTCCATTTACCTGGATGGTTTTCCGTCCCAATGAAAATCAGGAGCGCAAGTCCGTGTGCTCTCTCCCTCCAAACGATATTTATTATGACATTTGTAATGAACTTTCCCTCCTGGACTTGTCTCCTCGTCGACCTTTATTTCACCGTTATGAAGTAAAAGTGGACGTGGACAGTAGATACGAATAACTGCAAAAGTAGAAAGATATGGCAATATTAGTGTAGACGTATCTCCCGTTTTAGTCACAGGTTAAATTGTTTTTGTGCTGTACATGAAAGAAATCCTGGAATATACGACGAGAATTTAAATTTTGGTAGCTACTTTATTCTTATTTCAGATTACACATTATATAGAGCATATGACCAAGAGAGGTTTGTGAAGAAAGGCAAGATGAAAAAAGTTATTAGCGCCATTGGAAAATACGCATGTTGCTAGAATGGAAAAGGATGGCGAAGTAAAAAAGCCCAAGTAGCTTACTTTTAGAAGGATCCACATTCTGATAGAAACATGAACTTTTTCTATTTGACACGCAGTCCCTGCAATCATAGAAAGGGCTGCATATTTGTTTTGGATCGATTTTCTCGCACGGCAAACATTTCTGTCTCGGCGGGAAGTGTTCAAAACTAAATTTTCGGCACCTGTAAAAAATGGAATTTACATTTGTGCATAAAAAGGGAAATGCAAATATAAGCGAAAATATTTCGATTCTGGTTGCAAGCATTTTTTTAGTTGGAGTTTCTTTAATGATCCAAACAGTCAATTGAAAAATATAAACTTTGAAAGTAGATTTTACTAAACAATAATTAATCCAATTTTTGAAAACAGAAAACTATGGAGCGACAAATATATTCGAAATGTTCAGGCAATTAGCAAGAATTTTGTTTCAATAACACTAGGAAAGGCATGAATCCATGATTCTCTTACGAATTAATTTAATTTTGGCTATTATTTACACTATTTACATTTGAACTATTATCCTCATCTTTCTTGTTGTTAACACGATGTTTTTGGCCGTTGTGCCCCTCGTTCACCGGGTGTATATTGAACCGGGTAATGTACAGGGAATGTCGAACCGATCCCTTTATTTGATCTATGAGGATAGACTTTTTTCATTCCACTGTTTATGGCTAGGGATATGTTTAGTACTATTCAGTTATTGCTTCACAAACCAACGCTTTAATCCACTAGGTTATTATCCTGTGAATAAGAGCTGCCTGCTGATGAGTACTGCTGCTTTTGAAGATATGTTGTCATTTGTCTTTCTTTCTTAGCGGCTCCCATGTAGTATTTATTTATGTTAGGTCTACTAAGGAGGTCCCCATTGCCTAGCATATGCGCTGATTCTTTTAGATGTCTAACACTTCAGTGTTTTTCCTTGTCCAGTATTTTCACTTCAGTCTGATGACTACTCTTTTCACTCCATAGTGAAAAGACATAGCAATACTCGATTTCATTTTCTCACCCTCACTACAGCTTTTCAGTGTTCCTTCAGCTTTAGTTTTAGTAGGGGCTAGTGCTCACCTTTATATTCTTTGTCAATACTGCAAGGAATAGAGTATACCCAGTTCTTGGTCAGGTTCTCTTCTGTGTTATGCGTTACTCGGCAGAGATTTCTCTGTATAGTAGAGCTACTTCTAAATACTATCCTGATGTTTTTATGAACAGCAAATCTGAATCTTTTTCGATAAGCCCGACAAAGCGTAGCAATTTTCTGATCCTTCTCCTTAACCTGTTTCCACATGCAGACGCTGGTGTTATAACTGCTGGGTAGTGGTTATTCTGAAGGGTACTCTTGATGTTGATCATTTCTTGTTGGTATGTGTCTGAATTGCCACATGATTTTTGCCTGGTGTTAAACATCGGGCGTCCCCTTTTTGCATGGATGGCGGGAATTGAAGCTGAGATGAAGGTTGGCTTGTGAAGGTTGGTTTGTGAAGGTTAGTTTGTGTTATACGGACGTCTTCAACTTATTCTCTGTGTGATTTATTTTTGCATCCGGGAAGGCTAGCTGATTATTATTTTCTCCTTCCATTGTGAATTTGATCACATAGTCCAGCACTATTTGTATAGCTTCCTGATGTGGTCAGAGTATGAAGGTGTCATCTACGTGCCTCTGTTGGTTTAAGTGGTGCCATTCCTATAGACATTTCCTCGAAGTATTCCATGTATAAGTTCGCCATCACTGGTGTACCTATAGCCAAGCCTTCATCTTGTTGGTCTCTGTCAGTTGGAAGAATATTGTCACTATACAGGTCAATATTTCCATCAGATTATGTATTGCAATGTTAGTATGTTCTCCCAGTGAAGTCTGATTCCAGTCGGTGTCAAGAGGAACTCTTGTGAACCGGCTCACCACATCCGATTGCTATGGAGGGCATAATGACCGAAATGTTGTGATAACAACAACAAAAATGAAGAAATTAATGCAAATACAAATAGTGTAAAAAATAACTTCCCACCTCAGAAATTTAGACAGAAAAAATTTTGGATAACAGCTCGAGTAATTGATATTTAAATATTTATTATCCCTGTATTGCAGGTATTATTTTTATCCAATAGTTGTCAAGTAATTTCTGATGAAATCAATGGAATCAGTGTTTTGGGAATGGAGAAAGCTCTACACATACGTGAGGCAAGTAGAAGGAAAGATCACATGAAATGTGTTTATGATTTAGCTTAAATTTATGATGTGGTTAATGTGTTTATGATTTAATCGAAAGTGCTGTGTAGGTGGGATTCATAAAGAATCAGACAGCTTGAATCGGAAACCGCAACAGAAAAGTAAACTTTTTAGTAAAGAATTACAATATTTCACTAAAGCGTCACATTAAAAATAAAATAAAAAGGAAACTAAAGATTTAGCCAATTGCTGCATACTTACAATTTTATCGGAACATCGATCTCCTGCTTTGAATGTGGACCGCATGGACAAGTAACTAGAGTATGACCACATTTCAAGTCCGTGGTAGAGATAGGTGTTGCTATTGTAGCAAAGAACAAATAGGTCCCTGCAAAAAAAAAAAAAAAAGAAAGAAAAAGTAATTCTTCTGTTTCGTAGTAAATACACATGCATTGTTATTTCTCTTTTTTTCCTATTTATCTTCATATCAATCTATATCAGGATATACCATTTGACATTTCGTGTCCCCTGATAGACAAAGTCTTTCCTAAATTTTTCTACGATGACTGAACTGGATCATGTTATCTTCAAACTCTACAAAAATGCCTTGTTGCTTCTTGTTCTCCAGCTTGCGGGAAATCTTCTGTAGTTCATGTCTTTAAGAACTCTGGTGAACTTTTCGATCACTCGAATTATCATCCTGTGAGTCTTTTAACTTTTTTGGCAACGTACAAGAAGCTCTAATTAACTGTGAATCGTCTAAGCACCTCACTTTGTACAGATTTCTTTCAGATAAAACAATATGGCTTTCGCTTATCTTGGTCAACCGTCGATGCAGCGAGGCTCGGACTGTGGCTTTAATCTGGAAAGCCTTCCACACAAGCTAAAATGGTCATGGTGTCTCTGTTCAAATATTTGACGACACACTATTTCTCAACAAATCATGTAATGAGAGTTGTGCTGAACGATCATTCTTCTACATCCTCTCAAATTAACGCAGGAGTCCTCCAGAGGTCTATCCTTGAGTTTATGTTGTCTCTTATCTTTTTATCTTTATCAATGACATTCCTGATGTCATTAGTTCTCAACAGGCAGCTTATCACGAAAATGACCTCCAGTCGGTTGCTAGCTGGGACAAGAAATGGCTTGTAAATTTTAACACCCCCAAAACATAACTACTATCTTTTAGCCATCATAGAGATATATTTTTTTCCTTCACCATGGCTAGTGCTAATCTCCAGAACAGCAAGTCCTTGTGTCTTTTTGTTCTCACATTTTCCACTAACATGGAATGGAATTGTTATACTGAATTAATTATTAGGTGTGCTGCTAGGAGGATGGTTTACTGTATCATGCTAGACAATTTTTCTTGCCAGAATCCATCTTGCACATTTATAAGTCGTAGAACCCGGTTAAAAATTGTAGAAAAAATCAATAGATTTAAGTAGTAAAATTCAGATCTCAATTCTGTGCAAAAGTATGATCACACGAATCTCAAATTCAGTTTTCTACATTGGCATTTATTGACCATCACATTTTTGTCTCCTCAAAAATACTTACTGAAGTTGTTTTGTTTCTCGCTTTAAAAGTATTTTCAGAAAATAGTTTTCACAGTTCATATTAAGAAAATACTCAAGTGACAAATAGACAAAAATCAAAACATATTTCGGCCTTGGTTGTATTTGCGCTGATATTAACTGACTGCCTTCTACTATATTTACGCTACGCGCACGTAGATTTTGGATTCTCCCGTGCCAATCTCATACATACGCCCCACTCTGTACTAAAATAATTAATTTCCTTTGTAATGTAAAAAAAACATTTCTCGTATAAATTTTGTTTGCGAGAAACTTTATAACTTTTTTTTTTTTTCAGCTTAAAAGTAACTAAAATTATCTTTGCACTCAATTATGATGGTGTTCCGAGCTACGGCCTGCTTCGGCCACCAGTTATGGCGGCGTTCCGAGTCAATCTCGGTCTGCTCGATTGGTCAGGATCGACCCTGGTATCAGAGAACAAGCCGTCAGCCCACTCGTCAGTCGTTGATGGCGTTTGACACATCTTAAGAGAGTCAAGCCGAATTTCCACTGGAATATCTCAACAACGCTAAACTAAGGAGTTGAACACGCGCACACAAAATTGAAAAATAAAATGGACGACGCCCGAATAAGTCACGATATAAACATCATGTTTTTATCAAAATAACAAAACAAAATATTTACAGTTCTTTCTTTGTTCTTTTTCTTCTTTTCCCAACCCGTTCTAATATATGGCGACGGAACGAAAATTTCGGATTATTTCTTTAAGGGTGGCCAGACTTGCCAACTGGTTTTATCTTCAAGTACTGTGAGTTGTACTTTCTAGAACGGCACAAGGTTATTTGTCGGAGTTTTTTCTTCAGCGACAACTGGATTTAACTTCAAGTACTGTCATTTGTACTTTCACGGACGGCACAAGGTTATTCGTCGGAGTTTTTTCTTCAACAAATATTATTATTATTGCCATTAGGTTGGCAAAAGACCGTTATGTCAGAAATCTAACTCCGGTCGCAACCTCACTGCGACTACAACTGGCTCCGATTGCCCCCGACTAACTGACCACAAACCTAACTGGCCCCAACTGATTTTAGCCCCGTGGGCACTTGTATTTATGAGTGTCCCTTCCAGCATGTGTGGTGCGGGCGAATAGGAGGGTTTTATGCAAATCCCCTAAAATTCAACTAGTCGTTTTCTTTCGTTTTCTATTTCACATTTCCAATTTTGGAAGATCCCCTCCTCTTTCGGGAGGAGCCATTATATGATGTCAGCCTTTCTGACGTAATCTTCTGCTTTTTAATTTTTCTTTCTCAGGGAATTCTGGCCGACAATTTTTTCCATTGACACCTTTCAGCAGGAGACCATAACCCCTGGTCCCCGATCTGCCAGCTGTGTCTCGCAGAATCACATTGTGTAACTTTTTCAGCAAAATTCATACATCTGTTCCCATATCCTGGCAAAATAAGTCTCTTTCTAACAAAAAAATTAAAATCGTTTTGTTTAACCCTTTTCGTCCGTACGCCATGTTAAATATTGTTACATATCTCCCTTCACCCAACCTGTCATTTACCCGTAAATGACATTTCAAACTCCGATACACTATTCAATATGCGCCACTATTCATGCACTATTTCTCATGCACCGTTTCCATGCACTATAAAATTTTTACATGCAATTTGAAAAGTTCTTTTTTCTTCTGTGTGAACCTGCAATTTTTCCATGCACTATAAAATTTTCACATGCAATTTTAAAAAAATCTCTTTTTCTTCTTCTGTGTATACCTGCAATTTAAAAAAAGAGTGTGTGTGTGTGTGTGTGTGTGTGTGCGCGCGCGCGCGCACGCGCGTGTGTGTGTGTGTATGTGTTTATTTATTTATTTTCTTTTTTATTTTATGACTTTGTTTTCTTGGTCATTAATCTTTTTTGTAGAACAGGGGGTGTTTCGACAGGCACTGACTGTACCTCTGCTTCGTTCGTCGAAGTCAACGCAACTTCTTCTTCATCTTGGGTTGGTCTGGTTGGACAATGAAAACTGCCAGGCAACTCGCTTCCGAGCTGTTGCACACTTACCAGAGTACCATCAACCGACTTTCTTCTATATCTATTAAATTTCCATATTGCTGCTACTATTACAGCAACAAGTATCAAAGTACCTATCACCGCTGACCAATTTATTATAATTTTCTTACTTTCCTCCCAAGCCATACCTCTTTCTCCCAACATTTTTAGCTGGTCTTTTAATTGATTCATATTTATCCTCTCTACAGGTTCCAATAATATTGGCATCTGCTTTAACGCAATGTTAGGGAATTCATTTCTATTGGGTTCCACACTTCCGTGTAATTTTCCAAACTTCTGTTAATCAATTCTACAACTGAATCCTTTTCCTCATATTTCTCTTCCCTCTGGTAATATTGGGGCAGGGAGATGGATACTCCGAATGCTGAGCATCCCAGGGGCAAATTTACTAAGGATATTGGTGGTCTCACTTTTATTGTCCCAGTGGATTCCCCTCCACATACATTAGACAGTCTAATTGATTTCTGTACTGCCACAGCCCACACACCATCGGATACACTGATAGCCTGTGGCAGCATTGTTTTGGTTAACACTTCTACTTGACAATTCCTCTTAATTCCTTCCCTTTTATCTTCAAACCACTCGCGTACATATATTCTGTGATTACCTGTCACATAAATGGGACTTAGTGATGTACAGATTCCAAAGGCATCGTTCTTACACCTTCCCGTCTCGTCCGCCGACAGTATCATAAACTTCGTCCTAGCTGAATTCAAGGCTATGTATTCGGCTTCAATTCTGTATCTCGCCACCACTCCCAAAACTTGATCCACGGTAGGGAATAGGTAAGTTTATAACTTATATTTCAAAAATACTTTCTCTATCCAACAACGTAATAGACATCAAAACTAACAATTTTTTATTTTCTAGCAAGGTTACACAACCTAGTGCATTATAATATTTCCATAGTTCTCAGGCGGGATCTACTGGTAACCTAAAATTAATTTCGCTCTGTATTTTTAACAACAGTCTCTTCAAACGCGCTGGAGTTACTATGTTAGGGGACAAGTGTCCCAATGATAACATGTTCATCTGAGCTTGTACATGCTCTAATAGAATTGTCAGGGATCGACTAGTCTACCACACCCTATTAGTAATGGTGATCAACTGGAAATACTACTGAATAAACCCACTCAATACCCGCAATTCAGTTGCCATGGCCTCTGAACTATTAGCTACTTCTTTTCTTAGTTCTCTCAGGTTGCTTATTAACCCATTGATACTGGCTCTATTCTTTGCCAATTCCAGTCTTGTAACGTTCAATATAGAAACACTCTCCCGTGCCCTCTGGGCTAGGATTTTCTTATACTTCTTTACCCTTCCTAGGTTCCTTCTTATGACTTTAACGTCATCTTCAGTTATTGTTCCCAATAAGACATTTAGCGTTTTTCTCTGGTCTGTAGTAATTCAATTTCCTTCATGTAATTCCTCATATCCTTCTACTGGTCCTCCATTACAGCCATTTCCAACTATAAAGAATATGACAGTCTAAGATACTCTTCTTCTCCTGGATAATTCTGGGCTACTTTTACTCTTGCTATTTCCCAGCTTAGTGTATTCAGTAGCAACTCGTATAGGTTTGAATCTATCACAAAAGTGACTACCCATTTCGATCTTGTGATAATCACTTTCCATCATCATCACCATCATCATCGTCATCAGAAGTTTTGGTCCCTTCATTTTGGCTGCAAGGGTAACAAGATTTTCTTGCTTTTATTCCCTAACCATTCATTATTCAAATTAGTTCTTTACTTAATTATTCTGAATCGTTCTC